CTTTCTTTCTTTCTTTCTTTCTTTCTTTCTTTCTTTCTTTCTTTCTTCCTTCCTTCCTTCCTTCCTTCCTTCCTTCCTTCCTTCCTTTCTTTCTTTCTTTCTATCACTAAAATTTGTATCTCATTTATTTGTTTATCACCTTTAGGCATCTCATGGCATCCTAGTCAATATAGAGAATCCTACTTTTCCTGAGCCTCCCAGACCAGCCTTTGGAGGGGGGAGGGCTGTCTTCCTAGCCAGGAGAGAGAGAGGCTGGACACAGATCCAGATGCCTGCAGTGGATGGATGGCACATATCTGGGGTGGGTGGGGAAGCACATCAAACAGACAGAGCTAGCACTGGAAATGCCGCTGTCTTGGAAGGGAGGGTGGCTGAGAGGCCACTGGAGCCTCGAGAAAATTACGCTGAGAGTGCAAGAGAGCAGCTCTGCTTTCAGAGGCTTGTTAGACCATTAGTGATGAGAGGGGTGATGAAGGCCTCTCTGTGACGGCTAGCTGTTGGCTGGGCTGAGCAAGCAGGGCAGCTGCAGCAGCACCCGGCTCTGCAGCAAAGGCCTGGGAGGCTGGCTGATTTTGCCTCTCACATTTTTTCCTTTGGTCTCTCTCTGTGTGGGAGGAGGCAGAGAGGGAAGGGAGCAGAGGGGAGGGGGGCAGCTTTCAAAGGAAGCTCTAGAGGAAAAAGGCGAAACACCAGGTCCTTGGATCTCAAATTGCCTCTCCAGAGAAGTTTCTCTTTATACCTTGTTAGACTTTAGAGCAAAGAGGACCCAGGGCAGGGGCAAGGATGGGGTCTGGAGGGAGGGGCAGAATCTCAGCTGGGAGGGTCTGGGGAGCTTGAGGTGGGGACCAAACAGTGGGGAGAGGTATGGATCACAGACAAAGCCTCAGTGAGACTAAGCGCACATCCTAGATGTGCCACTTATTGCTGTATGGCCTCGGTGGGTCTTGGGTGTCTTTAAGGGAGGCTGTCTAAGAAAATGGAGGGGTATCAGGGTGCAGAAGAGGGTACTTGATAAACGTGGGCAGAATCTGCTTCCCTAATGACCCACTTCCAATAACTGCTACCGAGGGACTACTTTTTCTGTTTCCGGTGAACAGCACCAAGGGTAATGCAAGCATGGATCCCGGGCATGCATGTCTGTGTGCCATGTTTCTGCATTTGGCATGTGTATAGCTGGGGGAGAGGGGTATTGGTTCTCCTGCCCTGTGGACTGCTTGGATACAGTTTGTTTTCCATGTTTTAAGCTACTCTTTTGGCCATGCAGGGCACTTGAGTCTGGTCTGCCATCCCACGTGCCCAGCCCAGGTAATGCATTCCCAAGCAACTGCCAGGCTTCTCCCAGCTTATTCCAGGAACCTAAGTGCAATTACCACAGCTTAGTGTCATGGACATGGACCAGAGGGAAGACTGGGGGACTTAAGCTCAGGGGGACATGGAACATTCCTAGGTGACAAAGAAATCTGAGCCATGGCGGGGGGCTGTGGGGGTAGGGAGAAGAATGTCAGGTACCCCATAGCAATCCAAACCTGGGGCTTTCTGAGCCAAGGGGGACTTGCCTAGCTTCCAATGCTTTCCAGCTTGGCCCAGGGCTTTGGGCAAGGAACAGACTTACCTGGCAATGACAAAGAGGACACAGCTGACACCCAGGTAGGCGAGCAGCACGTACATCCAGATGTCTGGAGAAAGTGGGTTGAGGAAGGAGAAGACACTGGGGTTGGTGCCATTGGGCTTGCGATATAAGATGCTCACTCCGAGGGTCATAAAAGGCTTAGAGAAGTCGATGGCCTTCTCTCGGACGTGAGTGATGGTCAGGGGAGCCACAGCCAGATCCGCTTTCTGTAACAAGACACAGGCAGACAGACAATGAGCAAGGCCGTGGGTCAGAGCTGATGGAGAACCCACTCACGGATCACGGGTTGAGGTGGTGCCAGTCGCCTTAGTCACTCAATCACTCCTGAGGGGGTGGGCGCATGCGTGAGAATGCACAGCAACGTTTGCGTAAGTGTGGAGGCCAGAGCACAACTTTAACTGTCATTTCTGAGTTGCAATTGACCTTGTTTTTTTTGTTTTGTTTTGTGTGTGTGTGTGTTTGTGTGTGAACTTTAGCCTTTGACAGCTAAGCCATCTCCCCGGCCCTGATCTATTTTCTAAGACAGGGTCTCTCACTGGCCTGAAGCTCACCCAGTAGGCTAGGCTGCCTGGCAATCAGACCCCAAGAATCTGCCTGTTTCTGCCTCCTCTGTACCGGGGTCATTCAGTGCATGCCGCCTCACCATACCTGGCCTTCCCCACACATCGATTCTGGGGATAGAACACCAGTCCTTGACTAAATTACCTCTCCAGCCCACTTATTCACCTTTCAGTTTCAATACTGACTGCCAAAGGTGTCAGGGAGACAAGGATATACATACATCAACACAGGCCAACTAAAGCTTTGTTCTCCAAGAGCTGATGGCTTTGAAGAAGAGGAGGAAGAGGGCTGCAACAAAGGCATGCAGATAATGGAAGCCCATGACATCCCTTCCCAAGACGGCACTGTGTCACGTGAACGCAGCTCGGAGATTGGCAGTTAGAACTAGCTTATGCTCTTACCTGGCTCTTTGAAACATGAGGGACACATGAAAGCCTCGACAACTTCCTTCACCCACCTTCCCCTTCTCAGTCACTTGCTGACCACGTTAGCCCACTCAGGATGGTCATGAAACCCTGAAACCGGCTCAAAAGCTATCGAGACAAAGATAACATCCTCCTTGGGAACTGGGGAGATGGCTCAGTTGGTAAAATATTCTCTGTGCAGGCACGAGAGCCTGAGTTTGGACCCCAACACTCCTGTAAAAAGCTGCTCACCAAGAGAGTTCGGAATCCAAGCGCTTGAGTGATAAGCGCCAGAGTTCCCTGGCCACCTAGTGTAGCCAGGTCGTCAGTTCCAGGTTCAAAGAGAGCTCCTGTCTCATGAAAGAGGGTGCAGCTGATGTTGATAAAGGTGTGCGACCTGTTTTGGTCTCCATGCATTGATGCACACACATGCATACCTCTAACACACACACACACACACACACACACACACACACACACGTAGGCAACTGATGTTGGTGTATGTGTATACACACAGACACACAGACACACACCCCACAAGACATACGCAAAACAAACAAAAATACCGTCCTTAGAGGGTATGGGTGGACAAGAAAGCAAACAGGCAAGGCCTCACTAGCAGGGTTTAACATGGAGTCAGGAGAGGGAAAGCTAGAGACTCGGTATGTTAATACAGACCATTGCATCACGAAGTTAATGAGGGATGTTCTTAAATTGGTCCTGAGGTTTTCCCGATTAAAAACTTAAAAATCCTCCCCTGGCGTCTTATCTGTGGTTCTCTTAACCTGGGACCCCATTATACGCTGTCCTGTCCCGTGACCGTTTCTTCACCTCCGCCTTTGGCCCACTGTGTCTTCTCTCACTGTCTAATTCTTCCGACTGTTCGTATTATTTCGCACGTGCTGCCTCTTCGAGATCCCTCCCTGGCAACCTTCAATTCTTGATTCTCAGGAAGCTTACTCTTTCCCAAGGGAAGGTCTGCACTGCTCAGTGTGCGTGGCTGCATGTGAGCAGGCGTGCATCTGCTTATATACTCATGGGTTCCTTGCATGCTAGGGCTGCGGCTGACCCACCGCTCTCCCCCTCCTCAAAACCCCCACTTAGACTCTGCAATATTTAGTAGTGCTTGCCTGGAGAAGGCTGCCTCTTAGGCTCCGGTGGGTATTTGTGTCTCAAATTATGTCAAGTTATTATTTCCCTTCTTTATAAGGGCACAACTGAAGGGAGGAAGGCCAGCAATCAAGACCCTGTGCCAGGAGGGAGCATGTTTCAGGGACACCCTGCCAAGGCAATGTGTCTAAGCAGCCACTTGCTGGCTTGACCCATCCCCCACCCATTATCCCTCTATCCATTCTTCCAACCGTCCACCTACTTGGCCACCCATCATTCTATCCATCTATCCATCCATTATCTATTCATCCTTCCATCCATCCCCACCCTTTATCTGTTTACCCATCCATCCGTTTATTTACGTATCCATCAACATAAACACCCACCCACCCTCTATTTCATAGATACACCAGGAACTAGACAGCTGTCACTGACAGACACAGTTTTTGCTATTGTGGCTCTTAAGGTCTAATAGGAGAGAAGGGTATCAATCAAAGTGCTTATCAAATCAGCACTAGCTTAGATTCTAGTTATCTCAGAAGAGAAACCAGTACTTCAAAAGAAATCACATCAGCAGATAAGGGCTAATATGTGTGAAACTCCAGTCTAGACCATTCTGTAAGTACCCCAGGCTTGGGGGAGCTTGGAGATACTCTGATATTGCAATCCCTAGTATTTCTCCTTTTCTTCTAATGTCACCCCTAACTCCCCGACATGGATACTTGAGGCCCAAGGATCTGATGGAATTTGGCTAACAAGATAGCCCATGAAATAAATGGCACCTGCCACTAAGGTTGATGATGACCTGAATTGGATCCCTGGAACCTATATGGTATAAGGAGAGAACCAACTCCCATATGTTATCTGACCTCTAAACATGAGACATGGTATGTATACATGAACATGTACCCGCATGTACCTATGCAACCAACCAACCAACCAACCAACCAACCAACCAACCAACCAACCAATAATCAATCAGTAAATCAATCAATGTAAAACAAACCAACTCTAGGGAATACAGGTTAGAGAAGCTATGGAAAAGGATTATTGCACTGAAGTCCCCTTTTTATAGATTTTTGAGTGTGCGCGTTAGAACTTGTCTGGCTTTACAGGCACAGAAAAGTAAAACAGGGCAGCTGTGCTAGCTCCTAGACCCTTGTCAGCAGGGTTTGAACAAATGGACAGGAGGGAATAACGCTCAGAGACAGACAGTGAAGACTGTCTAATATACACTTGATCAAGACATAGTGCGTCCAGACACTGGCCTAGGTTGGATACAGAAATGAACCAGAGACTTGGAGCCGTAAGCCCCTGCTTTGGGTGTAGACAGCTCTTGGGCAACCCAGGAGCTGAGGTGAGCACTCTGAAGAACTCCTTCAGTCCTGAAGCTCTAGGATTTTCTACAATGAAGGTGACAGGGGTCTAGCAGTGCTTTGATTCCTGTCTCCCCTGGCCCACGCCCTTCAGGGTACACTCTGAAGGCTCTGTTTGACTCCAAAGGTAGAATGCACATGGACTCTCGCTGCTCTCTGGGAATGGCCTCTGGGTTTGCAGTGGCTTGCTGGCTTTAATAGAACCTCCAAGTCTGTGGTGGAGGGTCCTCCTTGGACTTTTGACAGCAAGCTGCATAAGACCAAGGTGATTGCACACAGTGCTCATTCCACAAGGATGTCCCAGGGGCTTCTGAGGAAGCCAGTCGCAGGCCAACAGCAATCTTTTCAGGGCTTTCAGCACCTCCCTTCCACTCTTCCTGCTTTCTGGCTCTAATGGGGTTGGGCAGCAGCGGTGTCCACCGCATTCTTTGCCTACGGCAGCAAGGTAATTGGCCAACGTGACCTTCTTCGAGAGTTCAGATGAGTGCTCTCCCCTGGGCTTCAAGAAAGCTGGCATTCTCCACTTCATTTTTGGCTTAGGCAGAAAATACTATATTTCACTGTTGGTAACGATTTCCCTGAAAAAGGCATTATTTTGTCCAACTTCCCTTGAAAGATCGGAACAGATGTCAAGTCTTCGCGGTTTCGGTTCATTACTCAGAATGAAAGGCCCAGTCTTGGCGGCTCTTCCCACTCATGCATACTTCGTCCAGTGTGATTCATGAAATCACGGGCTGTCAGAGCTGGATGAGAGACCTTCAGGAACGTCCGCCCCAACTCCACATTTTATTACAGAGGGAAACTGAGGCTCGGAGAAGCCGTTTGTCCTTTGTTCTCATGTTACAAAATCGTCACCTTGAACACAACCAAAGCTCTGACCTGTCCCCATACCTTCCTTGTGTTGCAGGTGATATTTTTCCTCTCCGGTCTCACTAAGTACCTTTCTTAACATCTTCTAAATGTCTGGGTCAGGCAGGATGCCTTCTGAGGATGTTGTTTTATCCATGTAAGCAGCTTCTACTTACCAAGATTTTACTGGGAGGCCCCCAACTCTTACCCTGCTCAACCTCCTTTCTACCCATGAAGCCATTTGATCTTGTCTACTTGGTTCCAGCCCCAGAGCCCATACTGATGACAAGAAGTACTTACCCAAGTCCAGCTGGATTTTTTGGACCTTGGTATCCAGTTATCCTGACATTCACCTGGATCCTGAGCTGTTCCCATCATAAAAATCTGGCCCACCCCCTACCAGACTAAGAACGGAATGGATCTCATTGTCTGAGTTCTGGCAACTTGTCACCAACCTGTCCTCCCTTAGGACAAAAAGTCTTCTTTGGATACCAAAGTCTAGTCGCCAGAGCCTGGTCCCAGCTCACTCCCTGGGTCCTGTTGGCCCTCCCTGTTGGATTCTCTAGTATGGTCACCATGGGATTCCATATCTCTACGCTTGGCCTCAAGCTGGGAACCCCCAGAGTGACTGCCTGCTCAGACAGTGAACTGTTATATTAAAATAGCAAGAACTGCCATCATTACAGGATGCTGCCTACAGGCCAAGCGACGCTAAGTGCCTCATGAATTTCTCCCTAGAGCCCTGGGAGGCAGCAGTCATCACCACATTTCAGATGAAGAATTGGTGGCTGGAGCAGGCAGGATGCTTGTTCAAGCTGGTGAGTGGCTGAACCAGTTCCCGTACTCCATTCATTATGACCTTAAAATCCAACATTTTACCATGCTCTCCTACAAGCCAAGTGTAGG